GTGATTTAGAAACATGATCCTAGCATGCGGATAATGGATGTGAGCTTTTAGAGTGATGAAGTTCTTAAAATGGTGTAATTTTTAGAACAATGAAAAATAATTAAAATTATTTGATTAAATAAATGGTTGAAAATATATTTCTTAACAGAAATCAATGAAAAGGTTATTATATTATGTATTGTAAATATCATTTAAATAGGATAATAACATTTACATGTCCTGAGACAAGAGATACAAAGATAACTAGAATATAAATATGTTTGGTTAGAGATGTATATATATAAATAAAAAATAAACCTGTTATTAAAACAGTTTTGGAATGAATTTTAATATTTTTAAATATATTATATCTATTTTTATTATTTTTATCCTTTTGATTTTGATTTGATGCCAAACACTGCTATAAATACATTTAAAAAATCAGAGACAATAACCACCGTTTAAGCTTCTAGTCACGAGGACACTAGGAATTTATGCTACATACTTCAGGTGTATACAATGAAATAAAATAAAATAAAACAATACTTTATATTTATTCATCGATACCCGGAAGCGGGTCCAATGTTTCAGGGGATGTGGCAGCAGAATAGAACAGATTCGATATGATGTGTACATGTGTTTTGCGTGGTGGTGGCTGATCGGCTACTGTCAGATTCTGGGTAAAGGGTCCTCATCTCTCCCCATTGGGAACTGAGATGGTCCAATCAAAGTAATTTAACAAAAGGATATTTATTGGAAATAAAATATTGTTCACACCTTCCTGTATTTATTCGGTTTTTGGTGTATTTTTATATTAATTCGATGGATATTAAATATACTAAGCCTTCGGATTATCCCTTGTGCTCGTGCTTCTCTCTCTCTCTGAGAATCATGAAGCGTGCTTGGGATGCTATCTCATGGACTGGCATCTTCGATGACAGCACCGCTGGACTTTCGATCGAGGAGGTTGTACCTCAAGAACATTGTGTTTAACGTGTTTATCGTGAAGGATGGTATTTTAATAAAGTATAAGTTTTTATATTTCGTATTATTATGTTTTCCTATCTGAAGATAACAATTTTGCTATTTTTATTTATGTAGTTAGTATTGATAGGGTTTATTATATAAAATATTATAATAACTCTTTGGCAAATAAAAAATAAATATTTTAGATCTCTCCATGATTATATTATTTCTGGTTTTTAAAAAATTTAACCTATAACAAACTCGGATTGTTAATAATAATAATAAAAAATGATTACAAAATTGTTGGCGTAAATATTTACTTGGATAATACGACGAAAAAACTTAAATCTAAAGATAAAAAAGTTGATTTTTGAGCTTTAGATACCAAATTCAAGCTGACCCCACAATTAGTCTTTTTTTTTCATGACAAGATAGTAAAAAAAAACAAAAAACTCATTCTTTTTTTAATAAAATGGATAATTAGCATAAATCCGACAAGTGTCAGCCCATCCCTCGGTACCTGGATAGACCTTCTTCACACACCGTGTTAGAATTAAAACTGAGGCGACGCTTCTAGCAAGGCAAAAATATTCTGTAGGGTTGCAAATTGTGTTTTAATTTTTTTTTAAAGTTAATTTTTATTATTTTTTTTGTATTTTTTTAATATACTGATTTTAAAAATAAAAAAATAATATTTTAATATATTTTAATAAAAAAATATTTAAAAAATAACTATAACAACACCAAATAAACATACTTAGAAAATTAGTAACAGGACCAAGAGGGAGACCTGCTTAAATTCTCTTCTTTATCATTTAATTAGCTAGTAAAAAAATAAATTATATTTGTGAAATTCGGATCGGACTGTAAAGTTGATCAAGAACAAGCTAACTTAGAGCTTTGGATCAATCATGATTAAAAAATATATAAAAAGTAAATAGCTTGATTAACTTGATTAAAAATTAAGGTTGATTCAGTGGTATAGTTAAGAATTTGTTATTTTTTTATAATTTTTTAAAACAATCATTTAAAAAATAATTTGGATAGGTTTGTTTGATCTATGATTTAGATCTTCCTACAAGTTAACCCTAGCATGGATTTTACAGCTAGTATTTAAATGTTGAAAAGATAAAAAAAATAATTAAAAAAAAGGAAAGAAAATGTAAGGCGTGTTTAGAAGTGCTGTAAAATTATGTATTTAATTTTTTTTGGTTTTTTAGTTTAATTTATTGTTTTAATTTTAAATTGATTTGATGAGTTGATTTAAAAAATTAAAAAAACATTCTATCATTTACGCTTTAACATCGGCGCAGGAAAGATAAAAAGTAGGATTCTGGAAAGCGTCTAAAAGACGCTGCTGTTGTGAGAGTTATCCGAATAAAATCGCCACCTCATGATGATCAATGGTGTGGAGCAGCACACGAGATTTTTTTTTTTAAAAAAAAAACCCATCAAGACAAATCAAAGCTCCCCAACATTAATGTCCTCACTGCCCACTGCATCGCCAGAATGACATTCTCTCATAGGACCGAAAGTTGAACGGTTTGCGGGTCTTGATGATAAGGTTTGCTGTGTAGTTCTCAAGAAATAAATAAATAAATAAATTTATCTGTTTTAATGCCATAAATTTCCTTGGCTAAGAGAAGGCCTCTAAGGATAAACATCTCTTCAATTTCCTTGGCCTTTTCTGCAATAATAATATCTGTTTTGTTGTAAAACTTGTGTGGGCAACTCCTAATTAGCAAAGAAAAAAAGAGAGCGAGGAGGAAAATGAAAAAAAAAATTAAAATAAAAGCTCAACTTAGTCCCTTGTTATGAGAAGCATATAAGCTAATCCTTGATCATCTATCCATCGATTTTGAATGTCAAGTTGTTAGTTAATCTGTCCACTAATCAGCAAATGGATTGTGTTGCATGCTGACCGTGAACACAAAAAATTTAGGGCTTTTGAGAATTTAATAATATTTTTTTAGGATATTTTTGTTTGAAAATATATTATTTTTTTTTAAAAAATACTTTTAATATTAATATATTAAAATGATCTAAAAATATCAAAAAAATATTAATTTAAAATAAAAAATTAAAAAACTACTCTTTAAACACAAAACAAGCAAAAGCAACCAAGCAGATATTATCTTGTAATAAAATGTTTCTGTAAAATACTTGTTGCTCAAAAAGAATTTTTTAATTTTAATATATTAAAATTAAAAAAAAATCTAGAAATGGAAATTACACACTATCACACAAGCAAGGTATTTAAAAAAAAACTATAATTCAAAAAATATTTTTTTTTTAAATTTTGATAGTGATATATTGAAACCATAAACAAACAACAAGAAAGCGAAATTACACCCTCTCGAGGAAGCAAAGTGCTTTCTTAAAATATTCATAATTTAAAAAGTAGTTTTATTTTATTCTTTTAATATTAATACTTTAAAATCATAAAAAAACATCAGAGACAGAAATTACACACTCTCAGGCACTCACTATGGCCTGGGCGGGCGATAAGGGGGTGTGTAGTCGGGTGCATCAATGGCCAAACCAATAATCATTAGAAATATATTAATGTTGATGGGATGTTAATTAAAATAAGAGATGATCTCTCGCAAGTTTTACTCTTCAATTTTATTTTGTCAAGTGACACGTCAACTTGTTTACCCTTAACGCGTGCCCCTCCATCCACAGTATAATAAAATAAATAATAAAATAAATAAATAAATAGTAATCTTTAGTTGTCCTTGTTATTCCATACTTCACACATTACATGGTATTTGATACCCGTTGTTCTCCAATTGACGGCTATTATTTATTGTTCAAAGACATGGCTCTATAATAACAATGAGTCCTTTTAGATTTTATGAATTATTTATTGTTGACGATGGTATGCAATTTTTTATTGCTAGGGTTTATATATAGAATGTTGAATATGACGTTGTTTTTTAAAATATTTATTTTTCATATTAATACATCAAAATTATTTAAAAATAATTTAAAGGTAACATCCAACTCAATAATTTTTTAAATATATTATTGTTGATGGGATGTTAATCAAATAATAGACAATCTTATACAAGGTTCGCACTCCACAAATAATTAAGCTTATACCTTATTTTTCTAGGTGTGAATTTTATGACGACAAGTGACATGTCAATTTTTTAAACCCTAGGTGCATGCCCTCCCCATCCATAGTTAAGAGAAAATGGGCAATCCTCGGTCGCTCCTGTTTTCCATACTCCAACCCTTGACATTGTATTCTATACCCATTGTTTTGTTGTAGTCAATTTTCCCTTGAAAGGTGATTTGTCTCAATAAAAAATTAAATCAATCTCTCTACCTAGTAATTGTATATAATGATCTTGATTTATTTTTTTAGCCAAAGTTTTTCTTTTCATTTTATTATTACAATGATTAAGGGTATTTCAATGTTAATTTGTGTGTCAAATTCCAATCTTTTTAGATGAAGTTGATACATACCCACCCCTTAATCCCCTTGTTTTTGCCTAATAATAATATTGCATTGCTATCCTTAATTTAGCAGAATATGGATAAACCCTACTAAAATTCGTAACGAAGCAAATAACTTACTTATATTGTAATATTGTGTATCAAAAACATATTTTAAAAACTTTATAAAAAAATAAAAAAGATTATTTATCATTTTTATTTTTAAATCATTTTAATATATTAATATTAAAAATAAAAAAATCATTTTTAAATTATTTTAAATAAAAAATATTTTTAAAAATAACTTCTGCAGTAACATCAATCACTTTAACAAAAAGAATCTCTAATGCATCCAAAAAAAGGAGAATATCATCCTCCTACCAAAAACAAAAATCTAATCTAGTCCCCCAACTACCATAAATACCCCAAGTTTGAGCACAAAAAACGCATATTCCCAATAAGCTTCCAGAACCAAAAATAGTAAATTTGTATTCAACCCGATGTGCTGTTTTTGACTTTTACCATCTGGCTGGCCCTCCTTTTTATGAGATCCGTCATTCCCTCACTATAAATAACACTCTCTCTCTCTCTCTCACCCGCTCATCATATCACACCTTCCTCATCAGTAGCACTCACCTCTCTCTCTCTCTCGCTCTCGCACACTGTCTCTATCCTGCTATTGAAGAACTAAACAAACAAGATAAAATCAGGGTTTGGTAGGGATGGGTTCGCCGGTTTTGCCAGATCTGGGAACGGAGATTCTGATTCCGGTATGTGCCATTATCGGAATCGGATTTTCTCTCTTTCAATGGCTGTTGGTCTCCAAAGTCAAGCTTACACCGGGTTCGGCGGCGTCCAATAACAGTCGAGGTTCTGGAAAGAATGGACATGGTGATTACTTGATTGAAGAAGAAGAAGGACTTAATGACCATAATATTGTTCTTAAATGTGCTGAGATTCAAAACGCCATCTCTGAAGGTATAATAAATTATAGTAATATCGCTGCTCTTTTTTTATTTTTTTTTAAGTTTGGTGGTTTTTGGGCTTGTTGAGTTTAGATCCCTGCTTGATATGGTGTTTTGGTTTTGAAATGGAAGACAATGAGCTGTTTTTGCTGGTGAAGTTTGGTTATTCTACGCAAGGAATTGCTTTTCTTGTGTATTTTTTTTGTGAAGGGTTTTGCATGCGGCTATATCTAGTCAGAGCTCTATGTGCTGTGGAAAGTATGGTTTTTTTTTTTTGGGATTATTGTTTTGTTTTACTTGATAAAGTTTATTTTTTTAGTTAAAAGAAACAAAATCCAGCTTTTATATTATTATTTTTATAATATTTTAGTCGGTGGAAAATTTCGAGATCGCGCAATTCTTTTGTTTCTCGTGTTGGAAATATGGTAATAATTTTTTAATGAGAACGCATGGTTAGGCAGAAAGATTTTGGACGTTTGGTCATAACATCAATGGTAAATGCGATATTTTCTGGCATGTGTGCTCTGGTGTTGATATGCTGCCACCGACCAGTCAACCCTGATTCCTAAGGGGTGGAAAATGGTAATTTTTTCCCTTTTAACTTTATAGTGTTCCTTGAAATTTTGCTAGATCTACAGGTCTTGATGATGTTATTGCAAATCTTCAGTAGATCCAAGCGTTTTGCACATGGGTTTTTTTTTTTTTTTTAATTATAGATTGTTGATAAAGTTGATTAGTTGCTCTTGGCTTTTTTAAAGGATTTTTGTGGTGAATTTACTTCCCTTTGTTATTATTTGCATTATTGACTGTGAGAACTTGGCCTCATTTTTTCATGTGCTGAAAATTGCTTCGAATGATAACCTAGGATGTGAAAACCAGAAACCAGATGTTTAGGGGATCGTACAATTGTGTCTTCTCGATCTGTCTTTGACAGATGGCTGATAGTTCTCGAGTCCCTTTGGTTAACTTCACGCTTTCTTGGTGAATGGTAAGCTATGAAGTACAAATCACCTTTTTGAAGAGGCCATATCCAGGATATCTGACATCTTGACATATGTTCTCACTGTTCAATAATAGTGATTTCTTGCTTATAGATAACTGAAAATTTAATCGGCATCGACTTGCTATGTTTTCTTGTATTGTATCCTTTTTGCAACATAGTGGTCTTTTTACTTCATCATTACATCATTATGTTGTGACAGTAATTTTTCGTTAATATCATTTTTTTATACTAATTATGGATGCGGATTTTTTTAACTCTGCAGGTGCAACTTCTTTCCTTTTCACCGAATATCAATATGTTGGAATTTTCATGGTTGCATTTGCAATCTTGATTTTCGTTTTCCTTGGCTCTGTTGAGGGATTCAGCACAAAGAGTCAGCCTTGCACCTATGACCCATTGAAGCTTTGCAAGCCTGCTCTTGCCACTGCTGGGTTCAGCACCATATCCTTCATGCTTGGTGCCGTCACATCAGTGGTTTCTGGGTTTCTTGGGATGAAAATTGCCACCTATGCAAATGCCAGAACCACCCTGGAGGCAAGAAAAGGAGTTGGGAAGGCTTTCATCACTGCATTTAGATCTGGGGCAGTCATGGGTTTTCTCCTTGCTGCAAATGGTTTATTGGTGCTTTACATTGCCATCAATCTCTTCAAGCTCTACTACGGAGATGACTGGGAAGGGCTTTTTGAGGCTATAACTGGTTATGGACTGGGAGGATCTTCCATGGCTCTCTTTGGCAGAGTTGGAGGAGGTATCTACACCAAAGCTGCCGATGTTGGTGCTGATCTTGTTGGCAAGGTTGAAAGGAACATTCCTGAGGATGACCCAAGAAATCCTGCTGTAAGTAATCCTCTGTAGAAATAACATTTTACCTTGAAAAATGACATGATTTCATGTCTGGGTTGTATCTGATTTCCTTCTGTGATTGCAGGTGATTGCTGACAATGTAGGTGACAATGTTGGTGATATAGCTGGCATGGGATCTGATCTTTTTGGATCATATGCCGAGTCCTCTTGTGCTGCCTTAGTTGTTGCTTCCATCTCCTCTTTTGGAATCAATCATGAGTTGACTCCAATGCTATATCCTCTTATTGTCAGTTCTGTGGGTATCATTGTTTGTTTGCTCACCACCTTATTTGCAACTGATTTCTTCGAGATCAAGGCTGTGAATGAAATTGAGCCAGCACTAAAGAATCAACTCATCATCTCCACTGTTCTGATGACTATTGGAGTTGCCATTGTTAGTTGGATTGCTCTCCCATCTTCCTTTACCATCTTCAATTTTGGAACCCAGAAAGTTGTCAAGAATTGGTAAGTGTCTTTCTAGTTTAGTTTTACCATCTCTCTCTTTACATTCAAGGAGTATTTGCTTATAGCATTGAATTCTACTTGCAGGCAACTCTTCTTGTGTGTTGCTGTTGGTCTCTGGGCTGGTCTTCTTTTTGGATTTGTAACTGAGTACTATACTAGCAATGCATACAGGTAAGCTTTTCTCCCATTCATTTCCCCCCCTATTACTTTCCCTAAATAATTAGTTAACTCGACCTTTTCATAAATTTGCAGCCCTGTTCAAGATGTAGCTGATTCCTGCCGAACTGGAGCTGCCACTAATGTTATTTTTGGGCTTGCTTTGGGATATAAATCTGTCATTATTCCTATCTTTGCTATTGCAGTCAGCATTTTTGTTAGTTTCTCCTTTGCTGCTATGTACGGTATTGCTGTAGCCGCCCTTGGAATGCTGAGTACCATTGCCACTGGCTTGGCAATTGATGCATATGGTCCCATTAGTGACAATGCCGGAGGTATTGCTGAGATGGCAGGAATGAGCCACAGAATTCGAGAGAGAACTGATGCCCTCGATTCTGCCGGAAACACCACTGCTGCTATTGGGAAGGTCTGAAAAATCTCTTATCTTGAGTTTAAATCACTTTCTTTTTAGATGTAGTTGACATCTGCAATCTGCAATCGCCTTTAATTGTCATGTTAAAATGCAGTTCTGCATGTTTTTATGCATTGATGTGTTAGTGAGTGGTTTACTGAAATATTATCTTATGGGACCGCTTTCAAGTGGTGCTCTCAGCACGCAACCAAGGAAATAGGCATCTTGCCCCAGCAATAGTTTTGGATTTTCCCCTGTTTTATTCTTTGGGAAATGAAACTTTGGATTTTTTTAATTTTATGATCAGAAAAGTTGGATGCTTGCCTTCTTCTTGCAAAGTCCTGGGACCACTTCTTACGTAATCTGTTGTCAGATGGAGTCATTTTCGCAGCAAAGTGCATTTACATCTTTAGTTGTAGAACAGACATCCTTAATCTCTTTTGACTGAGAGGAAGTATTTGGCAATGACTTGTTGCACTGACAGGACCTAAGGTTTTATTCGCAAACCTCTAAATTATCTTTGTGCTGCCTTTTTCAGGGCTTTGCCATTGGCTCTGCAGCTCTCGTCTCCCTGGCCCTATTTGGTGCCTTTGTCAGCCGTGCTGCTATTTCAAAAGTTGATGTGTTGACTCCTAAAGTTTTCCTTGGTTTGATTGGGGGGGCAAAGCTTCCTTATTGGTTCTCTGCCATGACAATGAAGAGTGTGGGAAGTGCAGCTCTTAAGATGGTTGAGGAAGTTCGCAGGCAATTGAACACCATCCCTGGCTTGATGGAAGGCACTGCCAAGCCTGACTATGCAACCTGTGTCAAGATCTCTACTGATGCTTCCATCAAGGAGATGATCCCACCTGGTGCACTTGTCATGCTCACACCCCTTATTGTTGGGATCTTTTTTGGTGTTGAAACCCTCTCCGGTGTCCTTGCTGGGTCCCTCGTGTCTGGTGTCCAGGTAAAGGCTAGTGGTTAACAGAATTTCTCTAGTTACGTACGCTTGAGATTATATTTACTGAGGTTTAGGAGTCCTGTTAACATTTCTGAACATTTATTTCTCCTGTGTCAATATTTTAGATTGCCATCTCTGCCTCCAACACCGGTGGTGCATGGGATAATGCCAAGAAATATATTGAGGTATGCGTTAAGTTGACGCAATCACTCCTTCATTTGTAATTTGGCATGCTGAAATCGTGGTTTTGTAATTTTAACATGCCCTGCATTGTTCTGTTGGAAACAGGCTGGTGTTTCTGAGCATGCAAGATCTCTTGGCCCTAAAGGATCAGATCCACACAAGGCAGCTGTTATTGGTGACACCATTGGGGACCCATTGAAGGATACATCAGGACCATCACTTAACATCCTCATCAAATTGATGGCCGTTGAATCACTTGTCTTTGCCCCATTCTTCGCCACACACGGAGGCCTGCTCTTCAAGATATTCTGAGCAGTAAAAACGGTCCACCAGTCCCATCTCTACTGTTTTGTCCTACTGTGTTTCTCCCCTCAAAAGTATATGTGTAGTTCTTAGTTGATGATGGACTTTAAATCTCTCTCCTGACGTTGACTGGTGGAGAATCTTTTCCCTGCTCAAGGGGCCGATTACGGTGGTGATAATCAATCTAGTGAAGAGAGCTGGACAAAAAGTTGTCATTTTACTTTCTAGCAAGAACAGTTAAATTTTTGCAAATCTGTCGCAAATTTTGATTGTATTATGCTTTCTTCTGTTTGAGTTGCCTCTATTTTGTTTTCCTTAAAGATGCAAGTTCAAATTTGAAAACACAAATGGATCCTGCTCCTGGCTAGATATCAATCAGCTGCAGTCATATGCGCGGTGCATTTGGAGTTTGTTTAATTGGAAATAATTAAAAAAAGGAATGCATGGGGGAGGGTCGCAGCAAAAGGGACAAGTTCTCCACCGTAGCTGGAAGGGCACGTGGGGATCGGGGAGTGTTATAATGCTATCTCAGAAGGGGGTTTGCTACTTCCTTTGTCCTTTTGAGCTACCATGCCTCTTAAGGTTGTCTTATTCCCTCCTCGGGCAAGTACGGAATTTCCTATCTCGAGCATCGTTATCGAACTTGGTTACTAGTTTTTAAATCGGGAATCCATAATACCGTATAGTCTCAAGTTAAATTTAACTAGTAAAATTCAATTTACTTTGTGCAAGTTTAATCAAGTTAATTTTAAAATTAAAATAATTCATACAAGTTGATCTGATAATCTAATAACTCTATATTTTTTTCTAGTTAATTACCAAACCATACAGCTGTACTTATGAGCTCATATGATTATTTTAGGTTTCTTATTTTCTTACTCTCGGTGAAATACCTGATTGTTAAGGCCTAAGGGATTTTCTTTCTTTATAAGAAAGAAAAAAAATAAAAAAAATACATGCATGTCTTCAGAATTATTCCATTGATTATTGTTAGCAAACATCCAAACATACATATAAAAAATATAATTAGCGTAATTAAATAGCTGATCAGAACCAAACAATATTCATCTTTTACGGTACAAATATCATTTGACATGCACGAAGTTACAACTACAAAATTAACTCCCATGAATTGAAAATTAATTGCTTTTTTAAAGATATCAAAAGCCTACCAAAATATGAACCTTAAAAACCTACCAAAAAATGCTTATTCTGTCATCTTCATCTTCCACTTAATCACTATTAGTAAAGCCAATAAAATTTTAATCAATGCTTCATAATACCTTTCAAGCATCGAAATATCATTTTAGCAGTCTGAAGATGAATTTTGATTGAATGCTCCATGTATCTACTAACAAGACTTACTGAATATATTATATTTGATTTTGTTATTGTTAAATACATCAAACTTTTTATATTTTATTCGTAAATAGCACTATCAACCTTATTTCCTTTACGATCCTTAACTAATTTCAAACTAAACTCAATTGGTGTGCTCACTAAATTGCAATTTTTTTTTAAATTTCTCAAACATATTTCTTTTAAAAAATAAATATATGGGCATTTGACTTAACCATTTCAAAACCAAGAAAGTAATGAAACTTTCTAAGATCAAATATATCAATTTCATTCATCATGAATCTTTTAAATTTTCCAAACATGGTCCCATCATTACTAGTGTGAATGAAATCATCTAGAATATAAAAAACATATTTTCTCCATCTTCAATTTTAATAAAAAATATATGCTCGTGTGATCGTTTTTTAACTTCAAGAAATAAGCTTTTATATAATTGTAATAAGCTCTTAGAGCTTGCTTTAGCTCATAAAAGTTTTTTTCAACTTATATATCTTATACTCATGACTAAATTTCACATAATAAGAAGGTTGATAAATGAATACTTGTTTTTGAAGATCTTCACATAGAAAAGCTGACTCTATATCCAACTAGAAGTTAGGCCATGAATTTTGAGTTGTCAAAGCAATAATCAATCTTATTATATCATACCTTGCAACTAGAGCAAAAACTTCTATGTAATTGATGCACACTCTTGCTTGTAACCTTTAACTACTAATTGTGCTTTTTATTTGTCAATTTCACCATTTTTCTTCAATTTGTTTTATGCACCCATTTTGATCTTTTATCCTTTTAGAAGTTCCGTCAACTCTTGTTTTTTTCAATGACATCAATTTCATCATCCATAACTTCTTTCCACTTTGTTTCTTTAACAACATCTTTAAAAGTCATAAGATTACAATTTGAGAATAGAACAAAATGAGTTAGTGAGTCATTAGATCAATCAATTCAAATTATCTCATAATCACTCATCCATATATGTTTTTTTCCCCTAACATGCTGTGATCTTTGACTATTAGGTGTGATTTGATCATTTACTATTTGTGGTGCTTTCTCTATAGGCTTTTCCCTTCTTTTATCATTCTTACCATCTAAATTCATTGGAATATTTTGTTTAACATTATCATTGCTCCATGTATAAAATTTAGCTTCATAAAAAATAACATTAAGACTAATAATAATTTTCTTAGTGCTAGGATTATAATAATTACTAATATCAAGAAAAATATATTTTTTTCACTTGTCATTAAGTTTTTTCATCTTTTGATATGGAATATGGGTATAGGCAATGCACCCATAAATCATGAGATGATCAACCGTCAATGTCTTTCCACTCCAAGCATTCTTTAATGTCTTATTTTGAACGGAAAGTGTAAGATTTCTATTTAAAATATGAATGCTCTCATTTATATATTTAGATACCAATTGTTGAAAACTAAACACATATTTGAACATCTCAAGTGTTTATTGATTGATTCATATTCTAAAATCCATAACACAATTTACTTTTATATTTACCATTGATTCATACTCTAAACTAAACACATCGCTTACCAAGGCTTGCTATTTATAGGTCTAGGTTTCTCAAGCTAAAAACTCATATGCTTGGCACATCTTATGGTTGGGTTAATAGACTCCATTTTTGCTCTCTTATTGAATGCTTACATAATTTTTTTCCAGCCAATCACCTATAAGATTTAATACACTACCTCGAATCTATACTCTTTTTTAAATAAGTTTCTTGCTTTTGTTATATGTGTGGGAGCTTTATAACCATTTATTCTTTTTGGTGTCACACAGTTTTTATTTATGGAATTGACTATGTGTTTTGATTAGTCTGCGGGATAACATTTGGGTGACTTTTATGAATCGCACCTTTTTATGCTTGGCTGCAGTATCACGAGTTCAAACTCCCCTGCATTTGATTTTTCTTTTCTCTATAGTCTTTCACCTTTGCAAACTTCGTGACCATGTTTTTTTTTTTTTTAATTATGCAACCATCTCCCACAAACAAATACCAATATAGGAGAAAAAATGGGGCCAAATCCGGATGCCTCGCCTCCAGATGACACTCTAACATAACCATCTACTAAGAGGCAACGACTCACAACTTTGTCTCCTCCGGAGGTAAGTTCCTTCAGTAATGCCTCTTTGGCTCTTTCTCACATTTTCTCCTCAACTCTCTATTCCTAATATCCCTAGATTAAGGACCACCGAGTAGTTTCTCCTTCTCCTTCTCTTTCTCCTTTCCCTTTTACCATCGCCATTTTTAAAGCATTATGAGGATATATCATCATTTCAACTACTTTTACCCTCTTTTACCTTTTCATGTCGAAGCTTCCATCTTTTGATGACATTAACATTGAATCTTCCCACCAGCCTACCTGACAAATTCCTCATTGATTTTTCCAAGTTGTTTGTTTTTCTTAAGAAAGCCATATCCCTGCTGCACCTACTTTTAATTAGGTGTCACGTCATAATATTATGTTGTTTTATTAGTTTCTTACTATATTTCTTCTCTCACTTATACTCATATGTGATTCAAGCTATAATTCCTCCTCTATGTCTCTCCAACCTTTTTGCACTGCTTCTTGCTTATTTCTATGCCTTTCTCACCACTGCTCCAAAGGCCTATTTATATTTTTTCCTTGCTTATTCATATAAAGTTGCTACATTATCAGATTGAAAATCAAATTACTCCATGCATAGGTTATTGCCTTTTTGATGTTGTTGATGATCTTTATTCATCACACCTTTTGCATTGTTTTAAGCCAGCATGGTATGGCTTTTATTTTCTTAGAGGGTTAATTACTCCTTCACGGTTTTTCTTGCCAACATGTTCTTCCCCTTTTGAATTATGTCAACCCCCATTCCACTAATGTTCAACACTTGTAATTTTCTTTTAACACAAAAAACTAGCTTACAATGGATTATTCCTTACTTTTAGAAGGCCGTCAACTGCTGCATTCTTCTACTTGACACCTCATTATTTTTGTCACTGTCTACAAACTCTTTTACTGGTACCCATTGCCTCTATATGTATTAACCATATGCTTGTATGCACTTAAGTGCCTAGGCTTTCTCTTGGGATGTTGACGCTTAAACTTCCTCTTTGCATCTCCAATCATAATTCACTACTTTTGTTTTGTTATGCTTTAAGGTGTTTGATAATTTTTTGCTTATACATTTTTTATAAAGTTCCAGTAAGCAATTGCTTTTTAGTTGAAGAGGTTTCGATCGTTGCCCGCTGTATCGCACGGGCAACAAAGCATGTGTGTGTATGGCTTATGCCATTTTACTAAATGGGTTAAAGCATAAGCTCTAGTAGAGATAACCACCAATAAAGTGTTTGAATTCTTTTGAAAGAATATCATATGTCACTTTAGGCTCTTTGGAGTCTTGATTATAGATAATGGAACATAGTTTGACAACCATAAGATGAGAGAGCATTGTTAAAGGCTTCATATTAATCATCATTTTTTTCTCTGTATCACACCTTCGAACAGATGGTCAAGCTGAACTAACTAACAGAGTTTCGCTTAATAGACTTAAAAAAAAAATAAAAGAAGCTAAATCAGAATGGGCAGAATTGTTGAATGAGATTTTATAGGCCTATATAACGATTCAAAAGATATCTACTAGTGAAACACTATTCCTTCTCACATATGGGACAAAAGCCACTATCCCACATGAAATTGGATGTTTAAGCCACCAAGTATTTCACTACACCTTAGAAGAAAATGGATGCCAACATATGTTAAAGAATTGGGGTGAGCAGTATGAGAACTCATTTGTGCTCCTAAAAGGTCATTTTCTGTATATGATAACTCATTTATGACCATGGATGCCTACCCTGCTGTAGGAACTGGATAAGTATTGATGGGCTGGACGCTAATATATGTTGAATAATTGAGGTGAGTAGTATGAGAACTCATTTGTGCTCCTAAAAGATCATTT